CGTGGATTTTTTAAAGAATGTTTTACAAGGTCCACTTTAGGCGTGGATTTTTTAAATAACGTTTTTTCAATATGCAGACGTGCCCATTTTAGGCGTGGATTTTTTAAAGAATGTTTTTTCAAGGTCCATACAAGGCGTGGATTTTTTAAAGAATGTTTTTTTCAAGGTCCATACAAGGCGTGGATTTTTTAAAGAATGTTTTTTTCAAGGTCCATACAAGGCGTGGATTTTTTATAGAATGTTTTTCAAGGGCGTGGATTTTTTATAGAATGTTTTTCAAGGGCGTGGATTTTTTAAAGAATGTTTTTCAAGGATTATCAAAGTCGTGGATTTTTTAAAGAATGTTTTTCAAGGTCCACTTTAGGCGTGGATTTTGTAAAGAATAGTTTTTCAAGGGCCATCCAAGGCGTGGATAGGCGTGGATTTTGTAAAGAATAGTTTTTCAAGGGCCATCCAAGGCGTGGATTTTGTAAAGAATAGTTTTTCAAGGGCTATCCAAGGCGTGGATAGGCGTGGATTTTGTAAAGAATAGTTTTTTAAGGGCCATCCAAGGCGTGGATAGGCGTGGATTTTGTAAAGAATAGTTTTTCAAGGGCCATCCAAGGCGTGGATAGGCGTGGATTTTGTAAAGAATAGTTTTTCAAGGGCCATCCAAGGCGTGGATAGGCGTGGATTTTGTAAAGAATAGTTTTTCAAGGGCCATCCAAGGCGTGGATAGGCGTGGATTTTGTAAAGAATAGTTTTTCAAGGGCCATCCAAGGCGTGGATAGGCGTGGATTTTGTAAAGAATAGTTTTTCAAGGGCCATCCAAGGCGTGGATAGGCGTGGATTTTGTAAAGAATAGTTTTTCAAGGGCCATCCAAGGCGTGGATAGGCGTGGATTTTGTAAAGAATAGTTTTTCAAGGGCCATCCAAGGCGTGGATTTTGTAAAGAATAGTTTTTCAAGGGCCATCCAAGGCGTGGATTTTGTAAAGAATAGTTTTTCAAGGGCCATCCAAGGCGTGGATAGGCGTGGATTTTTTAAAGAATAGTTTTTCAAGGTCCACTTAAGGCGTGGATTTTTTAAAGAATAGTTTTTCAAGGCCCATCCAAGGCGTGGATTTTGTAAAGAATAGTGGATTTTGTAAAGAATAGTTTTTCAAGGGCCATCCAAGGCGTGGATAGGCGTGGATTTTGTAAAGAATAGTTTTTCAAGGGCCATCCAAGGCGTGGATTTTGTAAAGAATAGTTTTTCAAGGGCCATCCAAGGCGTGGATTTTGTAAAGAATAGTTTTTCAAGGGCCATCCAAGGCGTGGATTTTGTAAAGAATAGTTTTTCAAGGGCCATCCAAGGCGTGGATTTTGTAAAGAATAGTTTTTCAAGGGCCATCCAAGGCGTGGATTTTGTAAAGAATAGTTTTTCAAGGGCCATCCAAGGCGTGGATTTATTAAAGAATAGTTTTTCAAGGGCCATCCAAGGCGTGGATTTTGTAAAGAATAGTTTTTCAAGGGCCATCCAAGGCGTGGATTTTGTAAAGAATAGTTTTTCAAGGGCCATCCAAGGCGTGGATAGGCGTGGATTTTGTAAAGAATAGTTTTTCAAGGGCCATCCAAGGCGTGGATAGGCGTGGATTTTGTAAAGAATAGTTTTTCAAGGGCCATCCAAGGCGTGGATTTTGTAAAGAATAGTTTTTCAAGGGCCATCCAAGGCGTCGATTTTGTAAAGAATAGTTTTTCAAGGGCCATCCAAGGCGTGGATTTTGTAAAGAATAGTTTTTCAAGGGCCATCCAAGGCGTGGATTTTGTAAAGAGTTTTTAAAAAATATTTTTCAAGGGCCATCCACGGCTTGGATTTTTTAAAATATGGTTTTTTCGAGCAGCAAAATAGGCGTTGATTTTAATATTTATTCAAAAAATAAATATTGAATACATTACGAGACTCAAATGAGATAAATAATAAATAACCTTTGTTATTATAATATATTAAATGTGAACCAGGTTAACCTAATTTGGTGACGATAAATGAATGCTACCAAATGTATTAGACATGATTAGCTTAACAAAGCATCGCCCAATGCATTTAGGCATTCATTTTCTTCACACATTCTCATCCTTAATATGCACCGCTTAGCATTCATGGCATCCACACATCTTCCAGTTTTTGTTTTCAAAATTAGGAATTCATCGACAGATCAACAATCGTAGATTTCAACACTTCACTTTGCCAACTTCAGATTTTTACGACTGGATTTTGAAAAGAAACACAAAACAAATAAAAACAACTTTGACGTAATATTACACAATTACGAATAAAACGGTTACAAATGCTACAAATAACAACAACTACAACGTAATCGAATACGTAAACACCTCAAAACAAATGATGATCAAATGACTAACAAATAATAATCATAATATGTATACAATTAAAATGTAATAAACACCAAAACAAAAAACAAATATGAAGAAGAAGAAAAGCAAATAAATACTAACCATATAAAAAATGATCGGTGAAGTCGAATCTGAGCTACGCTGCTTCCATAGGCATGCTTTTTAAAAAATAGTTTTTGGAGGCTGGGTTTTGTAATAATATTTTTCAGAGGACCAGCTGCCCAAGATGTGTGGATTTTTAAAGAATATTTTTCAGAGATCGATCTACTCAATAGGCGTGGATTTTTAAAGAATTTTTTCCAGGGCTCACAAAGACAAATAAGCGTGGATTTTTAAAGAATATTTTTCAGAGATCGATCTATTCAATAGGCGTGGATTTTTAAAGAATATTTTTCAGAGGTCGATCTGCCCAATAGGCGTGGATTTTTAAAGAATATTTTTCAGAGGTCGATCTGCCCAATAGGCGTGGATTTTTAAAGAATATTTTTCCAGAGCTCACAAAGACAAATAGGCATGAGTTTTTAAAGAATATTTTTCAGAGATCGGTCTACTCAATAGGCATGGATTTTTAAAGAATTTTTTCAGAGGTGGATTTTTAGGGGACATAACAAGGTGTGGATTTTTTAAAGAATTTTTTCAGAGGTCTCACAAAGACAAATAGGCGTGGATTTTTAAAGAATTTTTTCCAGAGCTCACAAAGACAAATAGGCGTGGATTTTTAAAGAATTTTTTCCAGAGCTCACAAAGACAAATAGGCGTGGATTTTTAAAGAATTTTTTCCAGAGCTCACAAAGACAAATAGGCGTGGATTTTTAAAGAATTTTTTCCAGAGCTCACAAAGACAAATAGGCGTGGATTTTTAAAGAATTTTTTCCAGAGCTCACAAAGACAAATAGGCGTGGATTTTTAAAATATTTTTCCAGAGCTCACAAAGACAAATAGGCGTGGAGTTTTAACGAATTTTTTCCAGAGCTCACAAAGACAAATAGGCGTGGATTTTTAAAGAATTTTTTCCAGAGCTCACAAAGACAAATAGGCGTGGATTTTTAAAGAATTTTTTCCGAGGTCGATCTTCCCAATAGGCGTTGATTTTTAAAGAATATTTTTCAGAGATCGATCTACTCAATAGGCGTGGATTTTTAAAGAATATTTTTCAGAGATCGATCTATTCAATGAGCGTGGATTTTTATATTTTTCAGAGATCGATCTACTCAATAGGCGTGGATTTTGAAAGAATATTTTTCAGAGATCGATCTATTCAAAAGGCGGGGATTTTCAAAGAATATTTTTCGGAGGTCGATCTACCAAATAGGCGTGGATTTTTAAAGAATATTTTTCACATGTCGATCTACCCAAGAGGCGTGGATTTTTAAAGAATATTTTTCACATGTCGATCTACCCAATAGGCGAGGATTTTTAAAGAATATTTTTCAGAGATCGATCTATTCAATAGGCGTGGATTTTTAAAGAATACTTTTTTAAGCCATATATTGTCCCACTGTAGGGTATAAAATTGAAAATGATACCCACAAATTAAAAACAATCCTCCATTGAATGAAAATTCAATGAACACAAAACAATTCCAAAAAGTCTGTAAAGATAGGCAACATTGGAACAGTTGACCGACAGTCTGGCTGGCAGTCCGAGTAGTCAGACATATGGTCACATGGTTCATTACAAAATAAAAAACCACAAAACAACTAGTCTGTGTGTGTGCGAGGTAAACAAACATCTGTGATGATGGCGTTGATGATGATACCCTACCGTTCGATACAATTCAAAAAATCGCTACAACTTTGCAATTTTATTGCTAAAAATTAACCAGCTGAAAACACCTGTTGTAACAGCACACATCAATATTGTGAACGGCTGAACAAGGGGCTATGAATAAAAGCTCCGAATGGCTAAACGATAAAACCTCAACCAAGAAAACAGGACACATTTTCTATGGAATGAAATATGAGCGGATCAAATGGATGCGAGAGGCATTAACATGCATTGCAATGCATTATTGGGTAAACGGTTAGTGGTTGTTTTAATGAATAATTAATTTGGAAATTTTATAGCTTGCTGATGTATTAATTAATTACATTAGAATGATGAACAATGGAAGGGGAATTAATGTTGCAGCTAATGGTATATTAAAAAATGCACAAATGTTGAATTAACAAATAAATGCACGATATTGCGAATGACCATACTTCTTCAAAAATATTCTTTAAAAAATCCACGCCTTGTGTGGATGCTCGAAAAAATATTGTTTAAAAAAATCCACGCCTTGTGTGAATGCTTGCAAAAAATATTCTTTAAAAAATCCACGCCTTGTATGAATGCTTGAAAAAGTATTCTTTAAAAAATCCACGCCTTGTGTGAATGCTTGCAAAAAATATTCTTTAAAAAATCCACGCCTTGTGTGAATGCTTTAACAAATATTCTTTAAAAAATCTACGCCTACTGAGAGTCCTTTAAGAAATATTCCTTAAAAAAACCACGCCTACTGAGAATACTTGAAAAAATATTTTTTAAAAAATCCAAGCCTATTTTGGTGCTTGAAAAATATGCTTTAAAAAATCCGCTATAATTGTCCTTGAAAAAAAGAAAAAAATTCGCTTACCATTTTAAAAATTTTTCATCTCCTTTTTATTGTTATGGGTAGACCTCCTTTGGGTAGTAAAATCGGTGTGGTATGAAATTTAAATTCCACCTCCTTACGTTCCATGGTCTCAATACTGAAGTTGGCTAAAAATTTGACCAGGGCCACCTTGACATTTACAACACCCATGCGTTGAGCTGCAAAGAAAAATAATTTTGAATCTCGAATTTTATAGAAAAATTATGTTCGATAGTTACCAATACAATGCCGGGGACCCTCCCCAAATGGCATATAAGCCATGGGATTATAATTAATTATATCGCGATCAAATCTCTCTGGTATATAGTCCATGGGTTGAGGGAAATATTCAGGATCTCTATGTAGACCAAACAGAGGTATAATTATGGCCGTTCCCCGTTTGATGGTGAAATCCATGCCAGGTATTTGAAAATCTTGGGTGCATTCACGATTCAGAAATGGTAGGCCGGGATATTTGCGCATGGTTTCTGAAATTAAACAGCCGGATAATATTTTTTTTTAGATCGAAAATAAGTTCCGTACTTACCCATAACACACAAATCCAAATATTTCATATCCTTCAGGGCATCATAGCTCAAAGGTCCACCAACCCGCAAATTGTGCTTAGCCAAAGTGGAATCAATCTCCAACTGAACTTTGGCTAATATTTCCGGATACATGGCCAATTCGTAGAGAGTGAAAGCTATGGTGGCAGATGTTGTTTCCGAGCCGGCAATATAGAATAGAAGTAAATTGGCCGCAATCACATCGATGGAAATTGATTTCAAATTTTCTGCAGCAGATTCTGAACGCCACACTGAATCATCGGTATCGTCAGATATCTTCCCAGTATTTCGCAGTTGAATCAGAAGCTGTAGAAGGTCTTTACGGACCACATTATTTTTCTCACGAAATTCTATTGTACGTTGAACAATATCCCTGATACTGAAGGTGATCGGATCATTAACACCCAAACGGCAGAGCAGGTGTGCTATCCTAGGGAAGAGGGACATTAATTTTCCCGATATTATTTGGAGCTAATATTCGTACTTACGGTGGACATATAAAGTTCATAACATGACGTATTTGTTGTAAGAAATTCGATTTGGGGTTCTTAAACAAACCATCACTCATCAGATGGAATTCATTATTGGGATTTGAGAAGCTATCGAGTTCCAGGCCAAAAATAACCGAGCCAATGATATCGACAGCGTAGCTATAAAATATAAAGAAAGTAAGAAAATCAAGGAATATTTTTCAAGGCCAACAAAAGGCGTGGATTTTTAAGGGGCGTGGAGTTTTTAACCAAAATTTTATCCAGGGTCACCTTTGGCGTGGATTTTTAAAAGAATATTTTTTCAAGGGTCAACTTGATAGGCGTGGATTTTTAAAAGAATATTTTTTCAAGGGTCAACTTGATAGGCGTGGATTTTTAAAAGAATATTTTTTCAAGGGTCAACTTGATAGGCGTGGATTTTTAAAAGAATATTTTTTCAAGGGTCAACTTGATAGGCGAGGATTTTTAAAAGAAAATTTTTTCAAGGGTCAACTTGATAGGCGTGGATTTTTAAAAGAATATTTTTTCAAGGGTCAACTTGATAGGCGTGGATTTTTAAAAGAATATTTTTTCAAGGGTCAACTTGATAGGCGTGGATTTTTAAAAGAATATTTTTACTTACGTTGTTGCCAAATCCTTAACATCCACCTGCTTTGTCCCGCCATCCTCCATTTGCCCCAGTAAATGCTTTATCATTTTATCTCCCACCTCATCGACTGTTTCGAACATTGCCTTCAGCTTACCCGATGAAAAGGAGGGAGTCAGTTTTGCCCTCAATGTACGCCAAGTCTGCCCTTTCAAATTGAATAAATGCGAAGAGAGGGGATCATATTTCTCATCCACATAAACACCACGATCATGAAAACTCCCAAAATCCGTGGTCATGATTTGACGTATTAGAGCGGCATCTCTCACTAATATAGCAGGTTTGAACAGCATATAAATACCGACAATTTTCTCCTCATAATTTTTATAGATATCCGAAAATACCAAACCCAAAGGTTTTTCCTTTTTCATGACACGGTGCAAGCAACCCAGCGGCACGGGCCCACTGTCATCGGTTGCAATGCCCAAACGCTGCCATTGGCTGTAGTGTCGCTTCACAATCGAATAAATTATTATCACTGAGAGAATAAAAATAAATAATAACATCGTTTTCTTGTTTTGTTATTATTTTTCCCGCTCGGTCTTATCGCGTAAAAACTCAAAGTGAAACTAAGAAATTTTTTGGAGAGGGTGAGAAAGAGAACATAAATTTCAGGGTTTTATTTCTTATCATCGAATGACCATTCTCCCAGCTAATGCTCTTAATGCAGATAACTGAGACGTCTTTGATTGTCTCTTTTGTTTGGTTCATGCATTTGTGTATTAGAGTGCCCACTATCTGTCAGACGACTAGACGACTAATTAAGAAAATGGAAAACTAGTCTAGAAAATATCAGAAACTGAGGGGAAAAAGAAAAAATACAACCTCAAGTGGATTGAGGCCTGCGAATTATTTTATATAGAAAATAAATTCTGTTACAAATCCACGCCTTATATAGGCCTGGGAAAAACATTCTTTTAAAAATCCTCGCCTTATATATGCCTGGCAACATTTTTTCTTTTAAAAATCCTCGCCTTATATATGCCTGGCAAAATTTTTTCTTTTAAAAATCCTCGCCTTATATATGCCTGGCAAAATTTTTTCTTTTAAAAATCCTCGCCTTATATATGCCTGGCAAAATTTTTTCTTTTAAAAATCCACGCCTTATATAGGCCTGGGAAAAATATTCTTTTAAAAATCCACGAGCCTAGAAAAAAAGTCGGATTTTTCTACCTCAGGTGGAATGAGATCTGTTCGAAGTTTTTTTCTCATGAAAAAGAAAATGGTTCTGTGGTGAACGTGAGGCATGGTGCCATAACTAGCCAACACATTGGCATGTGGCAGGTTGTTCAAAGTCATAAAACATATTTTCCTCATGTACAGAATTATCATGATTGCAGTTGAATAGAATTTATTACAACACGTAAGACCGATGCCTAACTAACAACACCTATCAGTACTTAGATCATTTACTGCCACAACAATGTAATTTTTAATGCCACATTCAAATTTAAGTGTTCCTTAAAATGAATGTGTGAATACCCAACCCAAAAAATTAGTTTTTCTCCTATTTTTTAAAGGAAATGGTAAACATCGATATAATTGATAATTTTCAGTCAATTAAAAGTTCAATACAATAAAAATTTGCCAAATATGTGTGGTGGAAAAAATTAGAGCCCCTTGAGGAAATGCTAAAAATTATAGAAGTTTCACATTATGGCAAAATTTAATAGGGTGGGAAAATTAAGTTTTCTACACTTCGACGTAATGTGTTCTAGAAAAAAATTGCACAGACATCTCAGTTTACACGATGAGAATTTTTTTTACAAAAAAAAAAATCTCAAACTTTTTATATGCTGTACAAAAAAATCACACTGACCTAAGTTAATCTGGGATGCAATTTTTTTCTATAGAAAAAAATTCGCAGAGGCCTCAATTCGCTTGAGGGCCCCATTTCTATACCCTTCACCACACTGTGGTACAGGGTATTAGTCTTTGTTCATATGTTTGTAACAAGCAAAAGGAATCGAGATAGACCCATGGTTCCTTTTGAGAATACGCATAGAATAACTTTTTAAGTCGATTTATGTATGTCCGTCCGTCTGTCTGTCCATGTTAAATTGTAAAAAATGTACAGGTCGTATTTTTGATTCAAATTGGATGAAATTTGATACAGCTCATTTATTTGTCCCAAGGAAATTGGAATTGGGAAAAAATCGGTTCAGATTTACATATAGCTCCCATATATATATTCGTCCGATTTAATGTAAATGGTGCAGCAAAGTCTCTATATATCCTTCGATTTGCACGAAATTTGGCATATCACACTGTATTAAGTCTAGAAAGATGTGTGAAATATTTCGTGAAAATCGGTTCAAATTTAGATATAGCTCCCATTTATAATTTCGTCCGATTTTAGGTAAATGGTGCACCAAAGTCCCTATATATCCCTCGATTTGCACGAAAGTAGGCACAACGGACTGAATTAAGTCCAGAACAATGTGTGCTAAGTTTCGTGAAAATCTGTTCAAATTTAGATATAGCTCCCATATATATTTTCGTCCGATTTGAAGTACGAAATTAGGCACAGCGAACTGAATTGAGTTTAGAACAATGTGTGCTAAGTTTCGTGAAAATCGGTTCAGATTTAGATATAGCCCCCTTATATATTTTCATCCGATTTTAGGTAAATAGTGCACCAAAGTCCCTATATATCCCTCGATTTGCACGAAATTAGGCACAGCGTACTAAGTTAAGTCTAGAACGATGTGTGCTAAGTTTCGTGAAAATCGGTTCAGATTTAGATATAGCTCCCATATATAATTTCGTCCGATTTAATGTAAATGGTGCACCAAAGAAATTTGGCACAGCGTAATGAATTAGGTCTAGAATGATGTGTGTCATATTTCGTGAAAATCGCTTCAGATTTAGATATAGCTCCCATATATATTTTCGTCCGATTTTAGGTAAATAGTGCACCAAAATCCCAATATATCCTTCGATTTGCGCAAAATTTGGATTTACAAGTAAATGAAGACCACAAAATGTGGCCGAATGCGAAAAACATACTGAAATAAGTGTAACCTAACATGTGACAAGTTTCAATGAAATCGATTTAGATTTTTATATTTTACTTTAAATTTATTTACATAATATTGTCCCATTGCAAGAAGCAACTCTATATCTGACCAAAATTTAGTATAGGTTGCAGAATGACATTTTTAATTTCATGTTAATGGTCCCTCAAAAATGCGACGTCTGTTAGGATTCCATCTGATGAATATACCTAAAGTGGTGAAGGGTATCATATAGTCGGCCCCGTCCATCTTTACTACTTTCCTTACTGGTTTCTATAGAAAAAAATTTACACAGACTTATGTTTACCTGAGAGCCGATTTCTTTATTGAAAAACAAATTCTCACAAACCTCAGTTCATCTGAGGACCAATTTTTTCTATAAAAAAATCGCACCGATCTCAGTTGACCTGAGGGTCATTTATTTATATAGAAAAACTCGCACAGATCTCAGTTCAACTAAGGGCCTTAGATTGCATGAGGCCAGATTTTTTTTTTAATTCGGCCGGACCTCTGTTCACCTGACCAATTCGACCAAATCTCATAGGTTTTTCTTTAATTTTTTTCAGGCCTTTTTAAAAAAATAAATAATTGTTTTAATTTATATTACCTGTTAATGATATATTATTTCACATTTCACACATAAATAATTATCGCCTGGCATAATTATCCCGTCGTCTCTCATAATATTAACATTTATTACCACTTATATGTAAGTATGTGCATGCGTGCATGTAAAACGTTATATCAAATAATTTTTTTTCTTCATATTATCTTTAATAAGAAATTTTCCATTTCGTTAAGTAACGTTACGTTCGAGTGCAAAAACGTCATCTGGTCATGAACAAGTATGCCTCGTGCTTACACAGATATATTCCTAACTCCCAACCTACCTACCGGTCATGCGGAAAAACGACAAATTTTCTTGTTGTTGAACACAACAAATTATTATGATTTTTATTTTCAAAATTTTCGTTGGTTTTTTTTTAATTTTTTGTAAGAGTTGGTAAAAAAGAAGAAGACAAAAAAAAACTAAAAATTAAATAACAATTTCCGGTAATGCCAATTAAGGCAGTTGACAATAAAGGCAATATTTGTTTTTGTATTTTTTACTTTATGGCGCTGCATTTCCCTATGGCGGACTTAGCGACTGGTTTGCCGGTTAACCTCCCCCTTCACAAAATGACAAGTCAGAGATTGTCAGCTGCTTGGTGGCTTGCAATGTTGATTGTGTTGTAATAAAAGTCCATTTCCAGGAGACAATATTGAACAAAAAATATATTAACATTATTTTAATGTACCCCAAAAAAATTATAACGAGGGTCGTATTGAAAAAATATATTTTTAATAAATCCACGCCTTGGTCTAATGGAGCTCATAGAAATATTTTTTAATAAATCCACGCCTTGGTCTAATGGAGCTCATAGAAATATTTTTTAATAAATCCACGCATTGTTCTAATGGAGCTCATAAAAATATTTTTTTTAATAAATCCACGCCTTGGTCCAATGGAGCTCATAAAAATATTTTTTTTAATAAATCCACGCCTTGGTCCAATGGAGCTCATAAATATATTTTTTTAATAAATCCACGCCTTGGTCCAATGGAGCTCATAAATATATTTTTTTAATAAATCCACGCCTTGGTCCAATGGAGCTAATAAAAATATTGTTTTTAATAAATCCACGCCTTGGTCTAATGGAGCTCATAGAAATATTTTTAAATAAATCCACGCCTTGGTCCAAAGGAGCTCATAAAAAATATTTTTTAATAAATCCACGCCTTGGTCCAATGGACCTCATAAAATAATATTTTTAATAAATCCACGCCTTGGTCCAATGGACCTCATAAAATAATATTTTTAATAAATCCACGCCTTGGTCCAATGGACCTCATAAAATAATATTTTTTAATAAATCCACGCCTTGGTCCAATGGAGCTAATAGAAATATTTTTTAATAAATCCACGCCTTGGTCCAATGGACCTCATAAAAAATATTTTTTAATAAATCCACGCCTTGGTCCAATGGAACTCATAAAAAAAAATTTTTTTAATAAATCCACGCCTTGTTCCATTGGACCTCAAAAAAAAATATTTTTTAATAAATCCACGCCTTGATCCAATGGACCCCATAAACATATTTTTTTAATAAATCCACGCCTTAGTCCAATGGACCTCATAAAAAATATTTGTAATAAATCCACGCCTTGATCCAATGGACCTCATAAAAAATATTTTTTAATAAATCCACGCCTTGGTCCAATGGACCTCATAAAAAATTTTTTTTTAATAAATCCACGCCTTGGTCCAATGGACCTCATAAAAAATATTTTTTAATAAATCCACGCTTTGATCCAATGGACCCCATAAACAAATTTTTTTTAATAAATCCACGCCTTAGTCCAATGGACCTCATAAAAAATATTTGTAATAAATCCACGCCTTGATCCAATGGACCTCATAAAAAATATTTTTTAATAAATCCACGCCT